CCTTATCACCACGTCATTCTCATCTTGCTTGTTCTGGAAGACCCATTTGGTACCAATCACGTTTTGCCTTGGTCTCTCCACCAATGTCCACACTTCACTCCGTGGTAAGTTGTAACTCTTCTTGCATTGTCATCACCAAATCCGGATCACCGAGTGCTTCTTCTACACTTAGTGGTTAAAAGTTACAAAAGAGTAATATTCACAAAAATTTGCAACTCGAGATCTAGTGGACACTCCCTTGTTGATATCACCTAGAATGTTGTCGGTGGGGTGAACTCGTTGCATGCTTTGGTGTATCCTTGGGTGTGCAAAGTTGATTGGTGAAGATGGCACGTGCATGACTCCTTCATCATGATCCAAGTGTGAGGGTGAGAGATCATTGACTTGGGTGGATGTGGATGGCTCCGCTTGTGTGGAGGAAGAGGCCCATGTTATTGCTCTCTAGGACGAATATCTTCTAGAGCTAACCTCTTGATAGTTTCGCTAGGGTCCTTCTCTTCATCTAGTACATGTGAGTCAACTTGCTATACTTGAGAGCCGTTAGTCTCGTCAAATGTCACATCTCGCGCGATCTCAATAACACCGGAGATTTTTTTTGAAAACGCGATGTGCGCATTCATTTGAACCATATCCAAGGAAGAACCCCTCTTCCACTTTAGTACCAAACATTGAGATCTTGCCTTCTTATTAAAAATGCAGCACCTACTACCGAAAATACGAAAGTATGAGACATTGGGTTTATTACTGGTAAGAAGCTTATAGGGAGTCTTCTTAAGAAGACGATGAAAATAGAGACGGTTGATGGCATGGCATGCGGTATTGACAGCTTTGGCCCAAAAACGGTCCGAGGTCTTGTATTCATCCAACATGGTCCCTGCTATCTCGATGAGAGTCATATTCTTCCTCTCGGCTACTCCATTTTGTTAAGGTGAGTATGGAGCCGAGAATTCATGCTTATCACTTCTTCATCAAGGAAACTCTCCACGCACTTGTTCTTGAACTCTTTGCCGTTGTCGTTTCGGATGTTTTTGATCTTGAGTTCGAACTCATTTTGTGCTCTTCTTGCAAACTTCTTGACTTGCTTGTGTTTCGCTCTTGTCATGAAAAAGAACACCCATGTGAAGCATGAAAAGTTATCAACAATAGCAAGACCATATTTGTTACCTCCATTGCTTAGATAAGCAATGGGTCCGAAAAGGTCCATGTTAAGAAGGTCCAATGGTCTTATGGTAGTCATCACGTTCTTGGCCGGCTGATGAGCTCCAATTAGAGTTTCCCATCTTGACATGCGCTACACACTTTATCTTTCTTTAATTGCACATTTGTTAGTCAAAGGATGTCATCGCCTTTTAGAACCTCGTGAAGATTCCTCATACCAACATGGGCTAGCCTCCGATGCCAAAGCCACCCCGTGTTGGTCATAGCCACTAAGTATGTCTCAAGTTTAGCTTTATGTGATGTGAAAACCACAAGATAAAGCTTTCCGTTGAGAACACCCTTAAAGACTATGGAGGAATCATTCCTTCTAAACATGGTCACATCAACATCGTTGAAAAGACAATTGTAACCCAAGGAACATAGTTGAGAAACAAACAAAAGATTATAGTTAAGAGATTTTACCAAGAGGACATTGGAAATGGAAAGATCATTTGATATTGCAATTTAACCTAATCTCATTACCTTTTCCTTTCCATCATCCTCGAAAACTATGTTGTCTTGTGAAGTGCCATTTGGATCAAGGTAGGAAAACATTGACTCTTCTCCGATCATGTGATTTGTGCATCCACTATCAATCGCCCAACTTCTTCCACCGAAGATATATTCCTACAAGAGATTAATTACTAGTTTTAGGTACCCATACATGGTTGGATCCTCTCATGTTAGTAACAAGTGCCTTAGGCACCCAAAGCACTCTCTTGATAGAAGCACTCTTGCCCCTTAGGCCAACATACTTAGCTACAACACGACCATTAGCATTCGTCCTAAGAACATAAGAAGCATCAAATGAACATTGTGAAGCACACTCATTAGGAAGGATACTTTTGGCCTTAACAAAGTTGTTTAGACCTTGGTCTTCTTGATCATCACACTTTTATCCACCTTGCCTTTTGGTGGAGGAACATACCAAAAACCTTCATGATTGAAGTTGTCCCTTTGATAGCCTAGGTACTCCTTTAGGGCCTTACTACGATGTGAAACTTTAGAAGGACATTGTAAAAGAGTCTCATAAGCTTCTCATTTTGCTTTTGTAAAGCACTCAAAGATGTAGAGTTAGTAGCATAAGCATCAATATCAATATCCTTACACCTTGAGCACGGTTCATTGCTTGGGACAATCTTAGAACAAGATGCCTCAATGCCATCCACTCAGTTGAACTCACTTCCACTCAAGGCGCTAGGTATGGAGTTAGCGGCTTGAGCGTTCTTGTGCTTGTTCTCGTCGTCCTCCTTGGTGGGATCATCGGGTTTCTGCAAATCATAGCCTTTTTCGACTATTCTCCAAATAGACGGGTTAATAGACTTCAAGTGCATCTTCATCTTATGCTTCCAAGCAGGGTATAGGTGCTCATATAAGATGTAGATGTCATGGAAGAGTAATCAAACGGAACTTTGGCTCCGTTTGTTTCACCCTCCTTGCCTTCCTCCTTTTGACCCGACATGATCTCTCCAAGCAGTTAAGCCTAATCTGGAGATTAGGCTCTGATATCAATTAAAAGGGTCAATTAGGCCTAGAGGGGGGTGAATAGGTTGATTTAAAAACTTAAGAAAATGCGGAAGCAGGACTTTCAGAAATTCCTAAAATCACAGAGTATTCGCAAGCGAAAGAAATGCTAGATCTAGTTGCCTACAATAATGAAATACTAGCACAAACAACAACTAGACTTATAGCGGCACAAACAAGCAAAGCTAGAGGAGGGAGAGAGGGATATCACCGAGGTTGTTGCAATATGAGATGTTTCCGAAGTTCGAATCCTTGAGGGTATTCTACTCTCTGTTGCAGAGTTCACAAAGAGCCAGGTTTTCACTAACCCTTTCCTCAAGAGGTTGCATAAAGCACTCCTGCTTGTACTAGTGGTATCTCTTCCCTTTCGAAGGCGAGATCCGACCTACACAAACTTCTTCCGGCCAACCACATGTAGATCGGTGGCTCAAGAATGACACCTAGCCGTCTAGGAGTTCTTAACCTCCACGAGTAACAAATGATGTAAAGATCACTTTGGGAATAAAGCAAGTGCTCACAAATTTTCACGAAGTTAATGTTGGAATAATGGACTAGGCCCAATTTATTCTCAATCGCAAGACCAAAGATCTCCTTTTACTAGAATTGCATCCAATTCCACAATACCCAAACCCCTGCAGTTGGGAAGCACGACAAGTGAACCCTCCTCTGCCCTGATCAAGCGGAGAATGCCTACGAGCGTAGAGGTAAGAAGAAAAGGGTTACCTACTACTCTGTCCCAAAAAAAAACCAATCCTAGCTACGAACCTGGACATGTGTGTTCAGGTTCGTAGCTAGGATTGGATTTTTTTTTATAGGACAGAGGGGGTAGATGAGAAGGAGGATGAGGCAGCGACGACCCCGGCGACGAAACCACGGCGAGCTGCGATGAGCCGGCGAGGAAGGGATTGGGGGCGGAGGTGGCAGCAGGGATAGCTGCCCGATTCGGAAGAGGGGAGAACTCGTTCCTGAATCACGTGCGTGCCATAGAGCTAATATTTTTTTATTTCAATGTTGTAGATTATGAGCATGGAAAATGTGGAAAATCCAGATCTAATAGCCGAGGCCCACCCAAACGGGCCCATTACTGCATCTACAGCTCATAGAGCCTATTGAAGCTATGGGTGGAAAAAAGAAGCTCGAACGGCTCGTAGCGAACTTGGCTTAGATCGGTTTAAACTCGTGGTCTTAATGAGTCAAGTTGAGCTAGCCTTTTAGCCTTTTAGATGGTGAGCTGCTCATTAGCTCGTTAGTAAAACATATCACCATATATTTATATACTCACTGCTTTTTAATCGGTGCTTAGTCTTTTAATTCCATCAAAACTAAACTATTTCTATTTACTGCATTCTTTATTAGTTAGTGTTTATTATTTTTTTAATGTATAATAAAATAGTAAAATTGAAAGTATTAATATGATATAGGTGAGATAGGGCTCATTAATGAGCTTTAACAAGACAAGATTGCTTTTCAGCTCATTAATGTTAACGAGCCGAGTTGACTCGTTATCCACCCCCAATTGCAGCGGTAAGACTTTAGGAGTAGTAGCAGCGTTCTTTTTCTTGTTTTTCCCTAGGTATGAAGTGACTAGGATAGAATGCGGGGGAGATGTCTAAAAATAGCTATATTTTGAGACAAGAGATTTTTTTATGTTAGCACTCGATAATTCACACGTCAATGTAAAGATGCCATTACAATTCATGCCATTATAAATTTGCACGTTTTGAAAATATACCATTACAATTAATTATAAAGATGCCATTACAATATTATAAAAAATTAAGATATGCCACTACTTACCTTTCCAATGCATTTGTTAAATTTTTTGGACGAAATTGCCCATGCCTTCTTTCTTCCTCCTCTATCTTCTCCCCTCTTCTACACCAATCTATAGTGAGCTTGATCCAGTCCCCATCATGCTGGACGCGTCGACTCACTGATGCGGCTTCCCTCCCCTCGTCAACTAACCCATGCAACTCATAATGGACGAGCTAGTCAGTGACTTCCCTGTTGTGCAAGTCCATCCTGCACATAGCGTCGCAAGGAACGAAATATGGTGTGGCAAATAGTGAGGCTTCAATTGATGGGGCTGCGATGGAATGAAGGTTGAAGATGGTGGCAACTTGGTCCAAACTTTTTTATGTGTATTCATTGAAGGGGTAAGTAGTGGTATGTATACGGTTTCAACAAATTTATAATGGCATCGTTTCAATTAGTTATAAATTGTAATGGTATTTTTAAAAACGTGAAATTTTATAATGGCATAAATCCAATTAACCCAATAAATAAACGCAGTGAAAATTCCTTACTTCTCTAAAATGGTACATGAGTATATGATCCTATACCAGGATTCAACAATATTTCTGCAATGTTACAAAATTTGGCAAAAGTACATGGGTGACAAGGATGTTTTTTTAGATAAAGGATTATCAAACCCGGCCTCTACACTTTGTGGGGCTGACAAGGATGTTACCAAATGTTTACTTCTTATTTTGAGTGAAAGGCTATCAGCTACTGGGATGCAGCTCGAACCAGAAGAGGAACGGGAACAGTTCTACAGGGGCGGTATGAACTCTCAAAGCAAGATTTCTGGTCCCATCTGTCGTTCCTCGGCTAACTCCTTCAGCCTGTGGATCACCTTCTCAGCGACCTGTATGTAGGCCTGTGCCGATGCAGAATCTGGTGATGATATCACAATTGGAGTACCTTCATCTGAACCTGTTCTGATGTCGATTTCAAGAGGTATCTATTGCACAAGTAAAAAAAGAAGGAAAATAGTCAGATGGAAGTTAGAAATTACTCCTATGGTGGATAAGCGGGGCCAGTACTACTGAAAAAGTACCATAAGAAACCTAGAAAACTCACTAGCAAGTCAGTTATTGCAATGATATGGAGTTGGAAGGAAACATCAAGAAAGAAAACCCCCAGAAAAGGCAATAGCCCCGAAAGAAAAATGCTTTCTACTTAAAAAAGGTGGATATGAAAGGAAGGACTTCCATATCAATGGTATTAAGGAGGAGATGAGTCTCAAACCCAGGCTAGCTAGCCCACCAACTTGTGGTGCTAGCCACTAAGATTCTGGATCTTTCTCAATGCTTTCCACTACCCTAAGGTATTAATCAGCAATGGTCTCATCACTCTGAGTCCTATTATTTTGTAAGCTTCAAGAATATATGCGTAAATTACGCAAAATCACAGCTTTGTTGTAATAACTCATAACTAAAAAAGCCTACAACTTTTGTTATGCATTTCATAATTAAGAATGACAATTTTCAAAATAAATGGCAGTGGACATGATCACATAGTGAAGTATTTAGCGACTATAAAGTTGCAGAACATTATATTGACTAGATATATTCAGAACTCATTCAGTCAACTTCAATCAGCAGCACAGGGCAGGGATAGGACCAAGCTGTGCAAACATGGTACTCATAATACATATTTTACAATCGCCCGGTTCCTTAACAGCGTAAAACTAGTAAATTTACCACAAGAACATGATAAAATGATTTCATGTTCATAAAAAAATTGTCTTTTAGAAAGGTTGTTACTTAGACATGTAAACAACAGTACGGTGCTACAAAATCTGTCCAGTTTTTCTCACAGAAAAATATGTAAGGTGCAGATGATTGTCATAAACTCACAGCTGAATAAGTCCACAACTTCATGCCAATTCTAAGTTGTGTTAGATTTCTCTTACCTCACCGATTAATTTCATATCCATTTCTTCTGCAGTTCTCTGACCTCCACCTTCCCCAAAAATGTAAGACTTCTCACCACACTTCGGGCACTTGAAACAGCTCATATTCTCCACTAAACCCAGAATCTGCCAAAATGCCTCACTAAGTCATGCTGCTGGTAAGACTATGGGTAACATTATGGAATGGTTCATCCATACGGCATCAAATGGAGGCTAATTATTTATCAGTCATGAAGGAACAATGCCTTATGTCATTGGAAAATCACAATACATAAGTTAAATAGACTGTACAGGGACTTGAACTTTACGAAACATATTTGCTCCTCTTCTAGCATCAATTAGAGCGATATCTTGGGGAGTTGAAACAATTAAAGCACCTGCAGAAACATGTAAACCAAATACTGAAAAAGCTATAGAAAACCATCATTTCAAACTTCACAGACCGACTTATAAATACCAGATAACCGAAGCCTTTGGGACATTGATAGCTGAGCATCACCAGTGCCCGGGGGCATATCAACAACAAGAATATCAAGATTACCCCAGGCTACCCCCCTTGTAATCTTCTCAAGAGCACTCATTACCTGATACCAAGAAATGTTGTAGTATAAGGAACATAAATTTTATAAAACAATAGACCAAAATGGAAGCATGAAACAATAGTCTTTCAAGGTAAACATATTATCAATGTGCATATTCCTAGAGAATCATACAAAGAAGCTCTACGAAATTCTCAAAGAAATCACAGCCATAGGTGAGGTTATGTCTTGCGTCCATACAAAAAATTTCACAAACAATTGCACAACTAAAGGAATACTACAAAAGAGTGGTATTGATGTCAATAATATATTTTTGTTGGTATTGCACGTACAATTTGTCTTTTTTTTTCTACCTCACACGTAGGATTGAACCTGTTTGTTAAATTTGCATAGACAAATAGATGAGTTTTTTTTTTTTTTTGAAAATTCTAGAAAATAGCCTATTTTGTTGCAATTCATGAATCATGATGTGCTATTGCCATGGAATTATCAAACATGCAGCATTTAAAGGTTTCAGGGGCAATATTAAATAATTTTAACTAGTCATTTCAATATATATTGTAGTTTTGATAGAGAAAAACTAAAAATGTGGAATGAAAAGGTAAAGAAAACGTCCACATCCACTAGCTCTTTCTATCCTACCAACACTGTTGTCCCGAAGATTACAAAAATTACAAAAAGCAACCATATTTCAATAACATGCGTATGGACTTGCTTGTTGCTACGCAAAAGAAAACATGTACTCCATGTGCCCATCATTGTGTTAGTGCATGAGGGCTGAAAATTTATGGAAGAAAATTAAATCATGTTTCTAACTTCGCAATAGTTTACTTCCACATTGATATGCATGCTTCCAATGGTAAATCTTTGCAGATTTTTTTATATTCATTAAGAATGGGCAAAGAACAGACAAAATACTTTATAGTTTATATGAAAAATACACGTCCACTAAGGGTATAGACACTTTAAATGAGAAGTTAACAGAAGCACATAAAAACAAACCATAGGACCTCTCCAAACAATTGGTGCATCTTTGTCAACAAGAAACCCAATGGACATGCATTGTACTCCATAGTTGTCAACTGGAATCATCCTCATATCTGGACAAAAGAGAGATAATTACAGTCAGTCAATGAAGAAATAGCTAACACAAGCAAAATGTCAGGTAAAGATATTTGCACTGAGATAAAGAACTCAAGGTCCAAACAATGTCATATCAAGTCCATTGGGGGCATCATGGAAGAAAGTCACACCACACCTTTCTATGGCCAGCAGTATTGTTCACATAAATGATAGTACTGTTCATGTAGTGACACATGGGTGGGTTAGCTGTTTTAGAGATGGCATCGGATAAGTTAAAAGGACATTTTTAAGAGTTAATTCATCCCGTATAACAACGATCGGGTTGTCTTCTCCAGCAACCAAGGAATAAACAAGAGTCTTTTGTCTCACCCTCTTCTCCCCTTCCTTACCATGTTTATTACCCAATTGAATGTGTGTTCTGATGCAAATGTGGTGAAAGAATGGATATACATTTTCTTGAATGCTCAGTAAGTCAAGATTGAGAAAGTGTCACACAAAGTTGATGGAGTACTGTTATGGACATAGGGGAAGCCACAGCCAGGAGGGGCAGCATGCACCAGGATGTTGCAATTTTGAGTGTTTGGAAGATTATCTAATAACTAGGAATACTTAATAATAGATAATTTTTTTAGTGGTGAAATCATCCTCCATTATAAAAATGAAGCCTAAGTTTTAGTATGTTCTAGCAATGGAATAAGAAAGGAATCTCCCTATGTTTCAAAGTTCCAATGCACACTCCTCTCTTAGTCAGCTAGTCTATGTTAGCCATGTCCAAAATTGCCCCCTTCATCTAGAGTGAGTCAATCTACATATCTATAATTGTGATAAAAACAAATCCTTTTTTACAATTGGAGAATCCTGGAGTTCAATTTATGCTCAAAGTTGGTCAAAAAGCGTGTTGCAATTAGTTCCAAACTAATTGAAACTACTCAAATAGCAAGTTCCTGCTGCTCAAATATTTGAACCCAACCACCTAAGTAAACGAAACTACAAGTGTAGTTCAGTTGCAAACTGAAACGCCATTAGTAAAAAAGTGTTGACAAACCTTGGTTTCATTTGCCTAATAAACAATTAAAACTGAGTTTGCAGACTGACTAGAATTTATAAATACTTCGTAATATTTAAACATGCACAAATTAACTGGATTACTTCTTCAGTGAGAATTACCAAAAACAATATAGCAATAAACAGGCACAGTTTTTTCAAAGGCAGACTTCTCGTCATTGCTTTCTGTGTAGTTTTGACTTGTGTTTTATGTCAATAAAGTAAATATTAATTATTAATTCAACATGTATTAAAATTTTCGGGTTTAGTTCGATTCAGATAGATCAAAATTACAAATGAAAGTTGAACAAAACAATAAATGTTCAGTAGTTGTGAGACATTCAAAAGTATGACAAAGAAAAACACAAAAACTTTAGGGGTAACAAGTAAACAACTAAAAGGTAGCTAAGAATCGTAGCATAGTAGCATCCAAATTTAAGAAGAAAACATTATGTACTTTGTTGCATGTTTTGAGAGTGATACGGCAGATACCTTCACTTACTTCAGGTTTTGCATGGAGATTCATCATTGTGGGTATGGATGGTCCATATATGTCGGCATCTAACAGACCAACCTTAAGCTGAAACTTCTTGGCAAGTGCTACAGCAATGTTAACTGCAGGAAAACAAATGATTAGGATAAGGGGAAATTTTGATCTAACAGGTCCACAAAACAATCTGCTTCTTCTGAGCGCCATAAGTTAGCCCAAGTTTGTTCAATTGAATGAATATGGCTGAGTACAAATTCGATACACATGCCTAGCGAGCATGGACAGCAAAATTCAGAAACCTGACAGGTTAACCTTATTGATAGCCACTACATACTACGTACATTGGAATGTACAAGGCTGAAATTCTGCACCTCAATAATCGGCATCTGCCTGCACAAGCCTGGCGCTGTATCTATTTCAACATAATTAATTAAATGTTGAAATAAACGGTGAAAGAAAAGAGAACCTGCAGTGGTGGACTTGCCGACGCCGCCTTTCCCGGAGGCGACGGCGATGATGTCGCTTACCCCGGCGATCGAGGGGCCGCTCTTGGCGGCGGCGCTGTAGCATCTCCTACCACCGAGCAAACCCTACATCGAGAGCAGTAATGAAACGCGAACGGGAGAGAGAGGAGAAACATTTCGTGGTTCTTGGACACCAGCAAGCGAGTGGGCATAGAAGGGGCCAGATTTGAAGAGGGAAATGGTCGGAAAAAAAATCGAAATCTTCTCTCACCGCGCGAGAGGCGATCCGGAGCATCGAGGAGAAATCGCAGGAAACCCTCCCTTTTCTTCTAGTTTGTTATTAGTGGTAGCGCCTGAGGAACACGGGGCGGCGGCACCACCTTTTTGGGGGTTTGGAAACGCGAGAGAGGGAGCTAGCGGGTGGCTGGCGGTCGGGCTCGGATCGGCGGCGGTGGCGGCGACCGGCTGCCGGCGACGGAGAAGAGGAGGCGGCGGCGGCGGCGAGCGCTTGGGACTTCGACTCGCGCAGTGTGAATGGGAACAACGAAGAGTATTTGGGCCGGAAGAAGATCGGCCAATCTGGCCCAATTGCAACAAAAACAAAAGGAAAAAAAGTCCAATTTGACTACCTCAGATATAGGTTGTATTCTTTAAGTTATATCCCTCGATCGCAAAACCGGTATATCCGTCCCTTCAACTAATAAAACTATTCATAACTATCTCGACTGTTTTAAGGATACTTTTTTTTTCTTTTTATCGAAGTGACGTCCACATGCCGTATTAACCCGGTCTTTATTTAACGTGGCAATACAACCATAAAAGATAAACGTGGAACCCCTAGGTCATAGACACAGTTTCTTTTTTCTCTATTCTCCTCTCACCACCTCTGTCCAATTCCCTCTCTAAGGTGCAAAGTGCATCTAGTTTCACTTTACCCCAGGTTTAGCATATACTTTCAGTTTACACTAGGTCGCTTTGAAATTAATAAGTTTCACTTAGCACCAGGATATACATTATCAGACTATGGAAAATTTCATCAAATTCTATAAAATGTGAATGAGACTTTATGGAACGTGTTTTAAAGTAAAAAAAAATCCATAAGTCTCACTCATGATTTATAAGATTGTCCTTCAGTTATATGACAAAATCTAGATGCAAACTGAAAATTATTTTATGTGCAATTACTCTATAATTTAATCTAAGGTACTAAAACTATAAGAAAAAAAATTGGATGTATGCATCTTGCATATAATAATAGTTGTAATTAATTAGTGGAGTGGCAAAAAAAAGATTTGGAAGGAGATACATCCCTTTTAAGAAGAAACTATAAGAGTGTTAGAGATTGATCGAACACGGGACTTTAGGGTTGAAACCACACACCTGCACTATCAAGTGCACCTCGCAGAGCCAGTGGCGTTATTAAGTAATTAAGTTGGATCGATTAATTAATATATAGCGCTTCCCAATTACCAACTAATTTTTCTGAATTGAGATCACCGGCCAATAATAAGGGCTCAGATCACACAAAAGTACTGTTCATCATATTATTGCAGCAGACGAATCTTGTAGCGCATACTGTAGCAAGTGCTAACAAACAGTGCTGCTACTAAATCCTAGCCGTTAAAATCTTTGTTCTGATGGTTGTGAAGACCTAAGACTGCTAAACTTGCAGTCCCTGTTCAAATTGCGTGGGATATCCCAATCCAATTTTTCCATACGTCGATGACAATCAGCAAAGAAGATGCAACAGTGGAGCGTGGCCGGCCGGGAGGTGAATTGGTACACAAATCCAGCTTCCTCTTCTTCACACTGCTGCCGTCACTTTTCTCACCAGTCACCACCTACTTCCTCTACACTGGTACCGTGCCTTTGATCGATGGCCGTGTGTCATGTTTCATATGCATCCTATCACTGTAGCACAACCTCTCCCCTCTATAACCAAGCTTAAACTAAACTATATATCAACCCCTACCCTTATATAAGAAACAGAACCTACCAACCTCAACGGCCGGTAAAAGTGCTATAGCATTAAAATCTGACATAGCTAAGCCCAATATACTATTGATGTATAAAAATATGATGACATCTACCCTATAACTTTAAGATAGACCAATAATCATAAAAAATAATTATATGTACACGAGAAGCTTTTACTTGTACTATTAGCTAGGGATGATTACATCCCAATCAGATAAGGAAAAATAATATCACCGTTGGTAAAACTACATAAGACCCGCTTAATTAGACTCCACTATGACAAAAACCCAAGACTACAAGCCTAATTAATTAAGGCTTTATCTTGTGGCCTACCGTTGCCTTCATGGCTTATAGCCTACCATCATATATATTCATATATTGTGGCGGACACAATTTCAAAATATAAATGGGGTGGAGAACGGAGATGCTCACTCGATAAGAGCAATCGACTAATCGCATAATTGTCTCGATCATATTGTTTGTGGCGTGCATGTGTTGTGAAGAGAGACGACTAATCTATGAGACATTTTCACCTTGTTATACCTAATTTTGATGGTCCATAACTACTATAAGAAGATAGGGGTGTCTTGGGATGTAGGACGGCACGGATCATAACTGGGTCGGTCAACCCACCATATCTAATAGGTAGATCCGCCCCCTGTTCATATAGAGCTTCATGCTATACCCTGTCCTACATTCTTATCGTACCTCACTCTAATCTTACTGCACCCTAGCTAATTCCCAATCAGGCAACCTGACGTACGTTGCGGGTGAAGAAATATTGGCATGCATTTCCACCCAAGTACAATGAGAAAGGAATTTTTACCCTTTATATAATATAATTTTTAAGTTCTTATCCTTTGACTGAGCGGTGTATGTAAGCTAGAAAACACACTGAAATTGCTTATGCAGGTGTGTGCATGTCGGCAAAAGGGGTAAAAAAGAAAACATCATCATGAGATCAGAGATTCCGATTGAGATGTGAAATGTTAATCTATTCAGCTCGTGGTTCATGCGTTGATTAGCCTAAAGCAAGACGTAATGCTTAGCTTAAGTCATGCTCATACATTCTTGGAGTACCATACCTATATTTTTATCTGAAAGGGAACTACTTTGACTAATATTCCCTCCTTCCCTAAATGTTTGACACCGTTGATTTTTTTAAACATGTTTGACCGTTCGTTTTATTCAAAAACTTTTGTGATATGTGTAAAACTATATGTATACATAAAAGTATATTTAACAATAAATTAAATGATAGAAAAAGAATTAACAATTACTTAAATTTTTTAATAAGACGAACGGTCAAATATTTTTTAAAAAGTCAACAGCGTCAAATATTTTGGGATGGAGGGCGTATTAAATTAATTGGCGAAGTTGTAAGTAAAGTACAGGAAGTTCTAACTCCCTACGAATAGCATCTATCATGCAGAGAGCTTTATCAATGCAAGAACCAGCAGGGAAACATCAGGAGATAATATAGGAACTAGCAGCGAAACATCTAACTTTATACTCCTATATGACATATATTTACAACACACACATATATGCTAGCTTAGCTAGCATTAATTTGATGCAACTGCTAGCTTTCTGCAGAGGATTCTTCTACAGTGAACCAAAACTCTCTTGACCATCGATTGTCCATCGTGATTCGATCTGATTAACACTTACTTCCTAGGTACTCCTCTTTAATATTATGGGCAGGATATTTTGACTTTTTTATAAGTCAAACTTTTAACTTTGATCAGTTTATAAAAAAAACTTAACGATATTTTTTTAAAAGAATATAGTATTAAAATATATTCAATGTTAGATTTAAAGAAATTAATTTGATGTTGTATATGTTAATTGCTATGTTTTTCTATAAATATGATCAAACTTAAAAAAAAAGTTTGACTTTAGAAAAATAAAAGTGTCTTGCAATATGAAATGGGAGGAGAATCTCAACTTAAGAAAGATTATACACATTATTTATTACATTAGTTATATATTATAAGGCAATTGATCCAATACAATAAGAAAAGAAATGTGAACCGTCAGTCGATTAAGCTTCTTGTTTTGGAACCTGTCTAACTGGGTTCAAGTTCTAGATCTTCCATAGGTGCACATATTTACACCTAATACGTATCCATCGATAGCAAGATGCATGTGATGATTTCTTCAATATCAAAATATGATAGTCTGATATTTAAAGATGCTCACAAGAGATATGGTATATGTGCGTGTGTTTATAGTGTTGAGTGTGCATGCTTGTATATATATATATATAAGCGCTTGTGTCTATATTGTGTTTTGAAAAATAACATTTTTTTCCTTAATTAATGTCTTGATGTAAAAAATAGTGAGCAACAAAATAAAAGTTCACTCGCACTACTGGAAAATTGATCTTTGCTGGGTCATGCAAAATCCACATTAGTCTCGGTTTAAATAGGAACCAGGATTAAAGAATATCTTTAGTCTCGGTTCAAAAACCCTATGACACTTTTTGATCTTAGTCCCGCTTAGTGTTACCAGTCGGGACTAAAGATCATTTTTAGTCCCGGTTCAAAAAAATAGCAGGTGGTGTTAGACCCTCCACTATCTTTAGTCCCGGTTGTTTAATAACCGGGACCAAAATTGAAAAAAAAAATCCGGAAAGCTGCCCTGAGCCGCGCGCCAGCTGCTTTGTGGATGAATTTGCTAACAGTAGTATATTGTATGATTTGTGAATTAGTGGAGCAACTTGACGTGGGGAATGCAAGCAGCAAAAAACAATAAAAAAACAAAAATTGGACTAAGATGTAGCAGAGCCACGTGACGCTACCATCTTTAGTCCCGATTGTTAACATCAACCGGGACAAAAGATGGATTTTTAGTCCCAATTATTTTAATAGGGACTCCCAGATTCGAGTTCCCGGTTTGCAACCCGGGACTAAAGGGATTGCAAATCGGGAGTAAAGATGCTTTCTCCAGCAATGTCGTGAGCTTGCGAATTCTGATTATATATTTCATCATGTCAAGACTAGAAAGAGAAGTGATTTTATTTATATATTTTCAGTTTATAATGGAGTTTTCGAAATGGAATTTCCAAAACATATTTAATTAACTTTTGTTTCTCATAACATTATTCGAGGTCAAAAGTACAACATATTTATTGCAAAGTATAGAACTTGATTAGTTTTATTTGATTGTGATATATGTACCTTACATATTTTTCAGCGTTTTAATTAAATACTCAAAATTAAATAGGAGTATCTTATTCGATTGATCGACATGCCCCTTTTTTTATGCATGTTGCTCCATATATAGTGGCACCTGGTAGGTCGTCCTCGCATGCAAAGTTGATTTAATTTGCTATGATGTAATGTAACGCAAGAGGCTCATATATAATTAATTTATTGTTCAATGTAGGAGTTTTTTTTTTTTGGGCCGGGGGGGGGGGGGGGGGTCAATGTAGGAGTTACGTTGAATGTCGATCGATCGATCGATCGGTCCGGCCTACTTAATTAGACCAAGGAGTATTATTTAGGTACAAGTAATTAGTTTACTCCACTGATAAACACAAATATTAATTATTGTGTTCTTATTTACTAGCGGGGAACACATAGTA